ATTATATGTGTGTAGATTTCATTGTAATCACAGATGTTATTTTGTATTTCTGTGCTATTAGTTGTAATATTTCCTTTTTCATTTTTTTATTGAGCTTATTTGGGTCCTGTCTCTTCTATTCCTGGTTAATCTAGCAAGAGGTCTATCAATTTTGTTTATCTTTTCAAACAACCAACTTTTTATTTCCTTGATCCTTTGTATTGTTTTTCATTTCATTTATTTCTTCTCTGACCTTAGTTATTTCTTTTCTTCTGCTGGCTTTGGTCTTAGATTGCTCTTCCTTTTCTAGTTCCTTGAGACATATAATTAGATTGCTGATTTGTGTTCTTTCTGTCTTTTTGATGTAGGCATTTAAGCCTATGAATTTTCCTCTCTAGACTGCTTTTGCTGAATCCCACAGATTTTGATAGCTTGTGTCCCGTTTGTTGTTCAGCCCTTTGTTGTTCAGTTCAAGGAATCTTTTGATTTCCATCTTAATTTTATTATTGACCCAATAGTAGCAGTTTAGTAGCAGGTTTTTTGATTTCCATGTCTTTGTGTAGAATTGAGTGTTTCTCTTGGAGTTGATTTCTAGTTTTATTCCACTGTGGTCTGAGAAGATACCTGGTATGATTTCTGTTTTTTTGAATTTATTGAGACATGTTTTATGGCCTAAGATATTATCAGTTTTGGAGACTCTTCCATGTACTGTTGAAAAGAATGTATATTTAGCAGTTTGAGGGTAAAATGTTCTGTAAATGTTAAGCACATTTGTTGGAGAGTATCATTTACGTCCAGTGTTTCTTTCTTCATTTTTTGCTTGAATGATCTTTCCAGTTCTGACAGTGGAGTGTTGAAGTCCCTGGCAATTACAATGTTGCTGTTTATCTCTTTGCTCAGATCTAGTAGGGTTTGCTTTATGAATCTGGGCACTCCTGTGTTAGGTGCATAAATATTTAGGATTGCTGTGTTTTTTTGTTGAATTGATACCTTTACCAGTATATAATGACCATCTTTGTCTTTCTCTACTATTGTTGATTTAAAGTCAATTTTATCTGACATGAAAATGGCTACACCTGCTTTCTTTTGGTTTCTATTTGCATGGAATATTTTTTTCTATCCCTTCATCTTGAGTCTGTATCAATGCAATGCTTGTGGGTTAGATGTGTTTCCTGGAGACAGCATACTCGGGTTGCATTTTATCATCCATGCGGCTAGCCTGTGTCTCTTGAGAGGGGCATTGAGATCATTTTCTTTGATTGATAGAATTGATATGTTGGACGCTGTTCTGTTCATCCTGTTGGGAGTACCCTATTGCTTTGTTTTACCTCTTGTGCTATTGTTTCATATGAGCTCAGAGCTTAGCTTTGTGTGGTTTTATACTGGTAGATGTCTATTGTGCTGATGTGTGTATAAGGCCATTCTGAGTATCTCCTGCAGGACAGGTCTGGTCTTGACAAATCCTTTCAGTGTTTGCTTGTCTGGAAAAGTCTTTTATTTTTCCTTCATATATGAAACTTAATTTTGCAGGATATAAAACTCCAGGCTGACAGTTGTTCTGTTTAAGAAGACTGAAGATGGGGCCCCAATTCCTTCTGGCTTGTAAGGTCTCAGTTGAGAAGTCTGGAGTTAGCCTGATGGGTTTTCCTTTGTAAGTTACCTGATGTTTTTGCCTCACTGCTTGCAGGAGTTCCTCCTTCATGTTGACTTTGGCCAGTCTGATGACTATGTGTCTTGGCAATTGCTTCTTTGCAATGAATCTCCCAGGTGTTTCCTGAGCTTCTCGTACCTGGATGTCTAAATCTCTAGCAAGACCAGGGAAGTTTTCCTCAGTTATTCCCTCCAATAATTCCAGCCCTTGTGTGTTTTCTTCTTCACCCTCAGGGATGCCTATGATTCTTATGTTTGGCTATTTTACATAATCCCCTATTTTTTGCAGGCTTTGTTCCTTCTTCTTAATTCTCTGTTCTTTATTTTTTGACCGAGTTAATTTGTACAAGTTGTATTCAAGCTCTGATTCTTTATTCTGCCTGGTCTAGTCTATTCTTAAAACTTTCCACTGTGTTTTTTATTTCCTTAAATGAATTTTTCATTGCCAGAAGTTCTATGTGTTTTTTTTTTTAATACATTGATTTCTTTAGTGAATTCTTCATTCGTTTCCTGAATTATTCTTCTGGTTTCTTTGAATTGGTTTTCCATTTTCTCTTGGATGTCATTGAGCTTCCTTACAACCCATATTTGGAATTATTTATCTGTCATTTCAATATTTTCATTTTGGTTGGTATCCATTGCTAGAGAGTTGGTGTTCCCTTTTGGGGGTGTCCTTTCTCTCTAATTTTCCATACTTCTGGAGTTCTTTTGCTGATTCCTTCTCATCTGGGGCAACTGTCACTTCTGATTTTTGGATTTTCTTTTGTTTAGATGGGGCTTTTGTTTCTCTCCTCACTTGTAAAGGAGTGTCTGTAGCATATGTTTGGTAAGAACCTTTGGCTTACTTGTGGGTGCTTTGAGGGTGATCTAGTTCTGGTTGGATGCCTTGGTTATAGATATCCTTAGTGTGGTGGTTTTCTCAGTTGCTAGTTGTTTGTAGTCTGTAGCTGTGGTGAGGTATGTGTGTGGGCACTTTCCTTGTCTGTCTTTGATGAGGGATGATGGAGGTCTTTGAAATCCTTTCTCTTTCCTCAGCCTGGTGGTTTTCTTAACAGTGTGAATTGTATTTACACACCCAGTCTAATCTCTGAGGCAGTAGGTGGTGCTTATGGGTAAGAATCAACCACACTCTGTATGGCAATGCTGTAAAGGGATGCGCCAATTGACCTCCCTGTCAGTAGGTGGTACTTGTTGGATGGAACAAGCTTTAATGTTGTTTTTGGGACCTATGAGCGGCTCTAGCCTCTCAGCAGAAGCAATCAAATGCTCCATGTGATGGGTGGGGCCCTGGAACTTCCAGGTGAGTCCTTATTCTCTGCCACAGTGGAGGTATGTGAGGCATGAGGCTGGGAGGGGCTGGGTTGGGTGAGCCTGCCTTTAGGCTCCATAAAAGCTTGTAGGTTATCTGTTTTGGCAGGGGTGAAAGGTCTGCTCCCAGCTTCTGGGGTAAGCCATCAGGGAGGGGCGTAAGTGAGAAAGTCTGCTTGTGGAGGTGGGGCTGTCTAAGATTCACAGTCTGACTGTTAGGAGTGGGTTTCTCTCTTCTCCCCTGTTGCCTGCTCTGCAGTCTCCCTCCTGTGTTTGCTAGCAGGCAGGAGCTCAAACTATCTGAGTTCCTCCGCGATGGCTCTGTGGGCTGGGAGCTTCCCTGTCCAGGATCCTGCCCTGGACTGAGAGCATTGTCTTCCTGTGAGGGGAGGTGTGCTCCACAAGTGTGTTATGGCTAGAATCTACACTGTGCTCTCTTTTCTGTTCTGCCCACATGGGCTCCCTCACCTCCCAAGATTAGTTCACAAATCTCCCTTCCTTGTCCCTAAGCAACATGGTTGAGTCCTAAAGATTGGGATCTGGCCTGTGGGCCTGTCCCCAGGTCCCTGAAGATCAATCCCTGACTGTGCCAGGGAGAAGCATGTTGGTCCCCCGTTGTCTATGGGGTACTCAAGCAGGTTTGATGTCCCTCTGCTTCGGGGTATGCCCTGTTCTGATGGAACAGCTGAGCAGGCAGCACTGGGGAGTGCCAGTGAGCAGAGAGCTCACTGTCTGAGCACCCCTTAGTCCTTGCAGTTCTTTAAGAGAAAAGGTTGAGCCCCACTCTCTGTGGAAGCCCTGGTGTGGTGTATGCATCAAGAGGGCGAAGCAGCAGCTCCTGAGAGCCCTGGCTTAATCATCTCTCTCGCAGCCACGGGAGAGGGGAGGGGAGGAAAAGAGTCTGGATGGAGAAAAGCTAGCACTCTGGTCATTTCTGTCCCTCTTTCCGGAAGGCAGCCTGCCCGGAATGTCTGGGCTCTGGGGTCATGTAGATCCCCTGGGACCCACCGGCCCCCTGTGGCTCCCACAATCTGGGCTGAAGTTGGGAAATATTTGTGTGGGAATGAGCAAGACGAAAACTGAGGGACTGAAACTCCTGGGGGAGACAAAGGCACATGGTGGGTGGAGAAGCAATATGGTGCCTGCTGTCTTGGCTCAGGTCTGTGGTGATGGGAAGTGCCCCAGGGGGGCTGGCAGGCAGATACTTTGTGCTCATGAAGCTTCCAGTTCACTGGCAGCAGCAGGTTTTGGGCTTGTGAAGGTAGAAAGGCTCTCCAGCAGCTCAGGAGACCGCTGACTGCCAGAGATGTGAGGGAGGGAGAAACAAACCACTCTACCTACCCTTTTCGCTGGACTCTAAGCCTCTTGTGGGTTTACCTCTGCCGATATCTTGCTCCTTGTTCTGTTCTGCAACTTCTTCCCGTGGAATCTCTTGTAGGTTCTGGCAGTTTTCCCTCGGAATTACACCCAATCTATGATTGTTTGTTTGTTTCCTTTTCATCTACAACTTTTCCTTTCTGAGATGGTCTGGCAGCTGTTGTCTCTGGTCAGCCATCTTCAGCTGATATTAATACATTAAAGTAACTGAAGTTGCTCTAGCAATAAATTTTATACTTTTTTAGATCCTAAATAGATTTCTACCTTCTCTGTATTCCCTGTTGATTTCAATGGAATGTTGAAATGCAAAGAAACACAAAGACAGTGTTGAACAAGAATATTGCTATCACGTGAGAATGTTTCAGTGATATATTCTTTTTGATGCATTAGTTTGTCTTTGCTTATCTGGGTTTTATAATTTAGATTTATTTTTTGCTTAATTGTTCATAGGTATAGATTTTTTTTTTTTTTTACTAAATCTTGAATTTCCTACATAAGAAAATTTTGTGAAAATGATGTATTATAAAAACTTTAAAAATATTTTCATAGTTTCTTTTAGAAACAAATATAAAGATCACTACACTTTTATATTTTAGTTCCAAGTCTTCACTTCAGCTAAAATGGCAATTGTCCTAGGGACCATTTCTTTAATCAGTGTATGTTTTATTCTGCTTTTCAGGACGAGGGTTCTGATCAAACAGGAAAGGAGAAAGCAAAAGGTAAAGAAAATCTATGTATTTTTTGTGTTAGCCTTATGAGAACAGTGATCTTCTGATGCATTTTTCCACCATTAATAAATTCACCTAAGTGAAACTGGAGGACCATCTTCCTTTAGTTTTCTCTATCCTTGTTGATAGTTTGATTAGCCACCTGTTTTGCTCAGGCAGAAACTTTAAGATAATTGTTGATGCTTTCTTTTTAATTCCTAAATCTGACCACTACTTACTACCTGAACTATCAGCACTATAATTTAAATAATCATTTATCACCTAGAGTACTGTAATGGTTTCATAACCTATGTCCTACTTCCATTTATTTTGTCTTTTTAAAAAAATTACACTAATTGTGTTACGTAGGAAAGTTGAGCATTTATATATCTTACAACTGAGCAGTATACATCTGAGAGAAAATCTTGTACATGTGCACTTGAGATATGTATAAGATTGTTTGGGTCATCATTATGGCTAAAATATTAATAGCAAACACAGAAGGAGAAAGAAGAAAAAGGGCAGGAGGGAGGGAGGGAACCACCCAAACATCCACTAGCAGTAGAATGGTTAAATAAATTGTGGCATATCCAAGTAATGGTAGAGCATTGAAAATTTTTCAACTGCATATAATTAGTATGGATGAATTAGTGTGGTGATAAAGGCTAACTCCCTTTGCAGGCAGTCTTTGTACTGTTCTTCCTTATTTCTAGAACTTTATGTTCATAGCCTCTTTGATTAACTGTGATTGATCCATCTATCTTAGAAATCATTTCCTAAGAAACTTTTCCTGTCCTCTTACCCTCGCTCTGTCCACCCTTCCCCCAAACTATAATTTACATACCCTTCCTGAGGATTATATACCATCTCCTGTTACACTCACTTGTAATTATTTATATCATTCTCCCTCATTATGGTCTTATCCATCACAAAGTACGTGCCTTAAGAAATAACATCTTCTTAATTCCAAGGCACCGTTAGTTATAAGATCTAGTATTGACTTAGTCATTTTATTCAAGGGAGAAAATATTTACATCTGAAGGTCATGTTATTTCATTGCTGAGCCATAGTGTGATTTTTTGAAAGAAATTTTAGTCCAATTTAGGGTCGCAGATCACTTAAATGAAATCTGAACAGATGCCTTTTATCTATGATATATTTGCATAATAAAAGTACATTTTTGCTTGATAGCTGGCAAGTCTCTTGTAGTTCTTACGGATTTTTTACAATCTTAAAAAGTCAATTGTAATTAACAGTATTCAGAAATGTTAATGTGAAAGAGCCTCATCCTCTTGAAAATATAATATGTAACCTCTTGGAAATTTGACCTCTTGCATTGCATTTTTGCCATCTTGGACTTTTCTCACTTTTGACATCTCACATTTATAATCACACTTATGGCATAGTATTATGAGCTATTTAATGGAGGAAGAGAAGATTTTTTTCACAATTTGTTAGTGTCTGGCACATAATACTTCAGTAAATAAATATTTAATAAATGCCTTTGAACTTGGTAAACTAAGAATGTAATCTGAAAGAAAAAAATGAAGATAAGGAAGAATAATGACTGGTCAGATATCCAGGAGGAAAATAATGGAATGAAGAGTGATAATTATGTACAAGTCTGGTTTAAAAAAATGAACAGGCATCTAGGCATCATGGAGGGGTAACAAAGCAAATTAAGTTAGCTTTGGTTGCAGATAAGTTCTCACATAGCACTCTTTTTTCCTCTATTCATTTCAGTTGACTTTTAATAGCACTCAGCGGTACATATCTTTAAGGCTTTCAGTATCTTCAGGATAGCATACTTTGTAGGAAACAAGGTTTTAGCTTGTCATATTGTTCTGTTTTCAGATTTTTAACTTTCTATATACTGATAATTTTTAATCTTTTGGTTCCTTGGAATAGCTTTTTAAAGTTCTATTTTAAAGGTATTGTTTAACAAAACATAAAAGGCTGTGAAATTGAGAGTCTTTAGGTAAACTACAAGTTATAATTGATTTTATTTGTAAACATATAAAGGTGGTGTCACGAAATGTAAAAATATCAAGTCAGTGATTTAATAGCATTGTTACTTTTTATTATTTATGATTCTGCCTAAACCACATGGTTGCTGCATTAATTATTTTTGATTTTTAATTATTTTAGGAATATTTTGAAAAGAACAGGTTAAAATCAAAAAGGGAATTACTGGGAGTTTCATCCCCTGTCAAAAATTCCACCATCAGTTTAGACCTTCTTAACCTATATATGGTAAATCAGATATCTTGCAAGAAGGAAACACATGGTAAGTCTTTCCAATAGCATTTTGTTTTGACTTTGATGTGATCGTAGTAACATTTAGCTTTCGGATTAGTTTATGATATTAGAACTTAGAGTATGTGGAAAATTTAAAACCTTGTTACTCTCTTAAATTAGAAACTTAGTTTATAATTTGCTTATAAATCCTTAGTTGCTTAATCCATTTATTTCTATTTTTAGGTTGTGTATGTGTTATATAAAATTTATTAGGTATGGTTAAAATTATTGTAGTGTAGTTAGATTACATATTTTTATCTGGGCAGATAGTTACCAAAATTTAACTATAGAGCAGGGAATAAATTTTAATAAATGTCAATAAATTACTTTTACTACTTAGAGAGTTTGTTTGAAAAGAAGAGCTGAAAAGATTTTTGCCTCAAGGACTAGTTTCCTATCTTATAATTTGAATATACTTCTTACATATTCCTGGGATGTTAATTATAGTAGTCTAATACTTCAAAATAAAGTCCATTTTGTCTTCAGTTTGATTCCTCAAATAAATAAAAAGTTTTTTGAGAGTTTTTTAATCCTCTTTCAAGGGAACTTGTGTCTGATATTTAATTTTTAAAACAAGTCTGAAAATGAGAGCTTAAAAGTCAGACAATTCATCAAGGAGGGGAAGAAATTGATCATAGTATTGTTAGTATTTTCTCATTTCCTTTCTCTGTCATTTTTTCATTCTCCTTCCACAGATGACAATTTGTAAAAGTAAATTTACTTATACTTTAGAAAAAATAAATACATTATTCATGGACTTTTGGAATAAAACCTATCATTGTAAATCTGTCTGCTGTATTTACCTTTATTTATTCCTGTATGTAGGAGAGAAAAAAAATGTGTTTTCCTCACCCATCGCTAGGTTTATGGCTGAGGCCCCAATAACAAAAGACAGATAAATAAGAGAAAAACGTACAGATTTATTTAATAAGTTTTATGTGATATGAGAGCCTTTATAAGGAATTGAAAACTCAAAGAAATGGATAAACCTATGTATTTTTGTGCTAGGTTTGATGAAGAAGTTTATAGCCATGGAGAAGTATGATAGGATAAAAAAAAGAATGATCTGGTCATGGTGAATTATTTTTTTGATGTGCTGCTGAATTCTATTTGCTAAAATTTTGTTGAGGATTTTTGCATCTATATTCATGAAGGATATTGGTCTGTAGTTTTCTTTTTTTGTTGTCTCCTTTCCTGGCTTTGGTATCAAGGTGATATTGGCTTCGTAGAATGAGTTAGGAAGGATGCCATCTTTCTCAATATTCTGGAATCATTTCTGGAGTATAGGTGTGAGTTCATCTTTGAATGTTTGGTAAAACTCTGGGGTGTAGCCATCTGGTCCGGGGCTTTTATGTTTTGGGAGGTTTTAGATTGCTGCTCCAATTTCTGAGCTTGAAATTGGTCTATTCAGACATTCTGTTACCTCTTGGGTGAACTTAGGGAGGTTGTATGTTTCCAGGAATTTGTCCCTATCAAAATCCCATTATCATTCTTCACAGATCTGGAAAAAATAATTCTACGCTTTGTATGGAACCAGAAAAGACCTCGTATAGCCAAA